GAAGACACAACCCACGTTGAGTTAGGTACACAAATTTGGCTTCTTTCCAAAAAGACAGTTTTCCTATAGGCCTACCAGTCAAGCTACAGCTGTTTGTTGGAAGAAACATACGGAACGTGCACATTCCCCCCCCCCCCACTCTCATCACGCTATCGATCATTTCCACATAGTTTTCAAAAACACAATTCCATCAACATACTTTAAAGGAGCCAGTTCCTACAATAGATTTTCAAAAAGGCAGTTCTTACAACAAAGTTTTAAAAAAAGCCAGTTCTTAAAATAGAGTTTCAAGAGGCCAGTCCTTAGTAACGTTGCAGACGCCAGAGCGACGTAAACAATTATAAAATAACTTGCTTTCAACACCCCCCTCCTTTTGAGGTTGCTCCTCCCGTGCAACTAACGTAAACAAAAAGTTCTGCCCTTGACAGCCATGGGATGACATAAATCTTCCAAAAAAGCAAACAGACAAACATAATTTCATTTACTCCATGATGCATGACCTTTTCGCTACAAGCTATATGTCAATACGACAAATCCCTGTCACTGATGTTTCGGTGTCATACAGTCAAAGCCCTTTCTAGTAACGCTGATGGCACCATGGCAACTCTCTTTGCTCTTCACTTTGGCGCCATTATAATAATGCATAAAGACAGCAGCAAATGCTGAGATTTTTTTTTTAATATTGATTTCAGTAAAAATCAAGCCATTTTTTAAAAAGAGTTGCACAACTTGATGCTCAGCCATGATAACTGTTCTTGTGAGGGGTATTTCGAAGCTTGTTGGATGGTGGGGTTTGTCATCAGAATCAAATCCCTTGAACTTCATAAAAAATAACAACAACATAATACGACATACTAATAGGTCAATGTCATTCAGTCACATAAGTCGAGCATGGATTTCGACTTTTTAATCGGAGCACGAGCGAATATTTTGTTTTGGTGTGGTCTGGTGTCTTACATAGCACGTACTCAATGACAGACAAGACACCACGTCACAGATACAGTAGTTCGTTTTTGTAATTTTTTTTTGTTTAAACCTGCAATGAACACAATTTGTAAGGCGTGCTTTGAAAAATAATACTTATTGCAACCAGGGCAATCCAATCCAATTTAAGTAGACTGGTTGCAATTCACGACTAGTCAGGACAATCCAATCCCAGTTTAAATGCACTGGTTACAACTCACAACTCGTCAGGACAATCCAATCCCAGTTTAAATGCACTGGTTACAACTCACAACGCGTCAGGACAATCCAATCCCAGTTTAAATGCACTGGTTACAACTCACAACTAGTCAGGACAATCCAATCCCAGTTTAAATGCACTGGTTACAACTCACAACTAGTCAGGACAATCGAATCCCAATTGAAATGCACTGGTTACAACTCACAACTAGTCAGGACAATCCAATCCCAGTTTAAATGCACTGGTTACAACTCACAACTAGTCAGGACAATCGAATCACAATTTAAATGCACTAGTTACAACTCACAACTAGTCAGGACAATCGAATCCCAATTTAAATGCACTGGTTACAACTCACAACTAGTCAGGACAATCCAATCCCAGTTTAAATGCACTGGTTACAACTCACAACTAGTCAGGACAATCGAATCCCAATTTAAATGCACTGGTTTCAACTCACAACTAGTCAGGACAATCGAATCCCAATTTAAATGCACTGGTTACAACTCACAACTAGTCAGGACAATCCAATCCCAGTTTAAATGCACTGGTTACAACTCACAACTAGTCAGGACAATCCAATCCCAGTTTAAATGCACTGGTTACAACTCACAACTAGTCAGGACAATCCAATCCCAGTTGAAATGCACTGGTTACAACTCACAACTAGTCAGGACAATCCAATCCCAATTGAAATGCACTGGTTACAACTCACAACTAGTCGGGACAATCGAATCCCAATTTAAATGGACGGGAAGTAACTCACGACTAGTACGGACAAATCTCCCCCCCCCCACCCCCCAAAAACAACAAACAAACAAAAAACAACAACAACAAACAAACAAAGAACTCAACCCCCCACCTAACTGTACTGCTAATTGTCACAATCAAGTACCTTGGCATTGTGAAACGCTTGACTAAACTTTTTTTTTAAAAAGGAGGTTAAAATAATTGTTGTGAGAGCATTGCACTGTATCGTAAACAATAGAAAAACTTAAAACATTTATGAAGAGTGGTAAACTACTGTACACGTGATCTCCTTATAAATATTATGAACACTACATCATTTTGTGTCCCGTCCCCCCCCACACACACACCTTTTTCCAGGATTCCCCCTTCATTGTGTCAGTATTATGTATTTCCTATTACGTTATCTGATTGCAGCCTCCTCCTTATCATTCAAACACGGCAAACACACGCTTACATATCTGGCTGTGTGAATTATCCAAGGTAAACACACCGATTGGGAGGGTTTGCAGACAGCATCAAGCAGTTTTATTCATATTGAAATGATGGCAAACATTTAGAACAAAACAAATTTACCAAGCAGCTGTTCGTCCGTATAGAAAATCGATCATAAGACCATTCAGTTCAACATCGGCTAGGTGCCGGGGCTGACTCTCTCTGCGGGCGCCCATGATCTTCCAGAGACCTTCTCTGCTGACAGTGTCGAAAGCTTTCGGTGAGGTCTACAGAGATGGGGGAGAGGTCAACATTCTGTCCCTGACACTGGCGCGGCGAACACAGTATCAAAAAACTGCATTGACTTTCTGGATGTAGACCCTCCTCAAGAAGGGTACAGAGACGGTTGAGAAGTATTCTAGTGCTTATTTTGCTTGCAGTGATGGGCAAAGACATGCCGCGGTTGTTGTCACACGGTTGTACATGTGAACATGGATGCAATCCTTAAAATCCTGTGGTATTTCTCTTGCTGCCGCGCATAAGATAGGAACAGCTGGTGAAGCCTTTCAATCTAGCTATGCCACCTCCTTTGTAAATTTCAGCTGGGATGAAGTCATCACCTGAAGTTTTACCAATCTAAGAAGACATACAGATTGATTGGAGGATTTGTGGGGTGGGGGGGGGGAGGGTCTTCCATTTCTGCGGGAGTTGATTCATGGTTTCATCGTTGACGGATGATGGGCGATGGCAGTGCTCTGTCCGAAGTTCCTTCTCAGTAATCAGAGTTTTCTCATCAGCTCTCAGAAGCAGGGATGATCCTGATGAAGTGGGGGGGGGGAGGGGGGCGTAGACTTATTTGAGAGTGTGGTAGAACTCTCTCAACGTGCATGTCTTTGAAAACTTATTAAACCAGTGGTTTGTCCGCATAGCCCTGGATCACGCCAGCCTTACTTATACCAGCAAGCGATTTTATTCTTGTTGAGATCACGGTTAATATAATATACTATAATATAAAAAAGACGGAAAAAAATCCAAATTACAACACAGTAATCCCCCATTTCATCAATATCATTTGATATTTATTACATTGTTCAATAATGGCAATTAGAATCATCAGTTATGCACACATTAGCTATGTCACCGGGTAAATTAACAACACTAAAATATATATTAACAAAAACAAACAGCACAAATCTCTTGTATTCAAACATTGCTCATCGATAAATCGTCCGAGATTGTTTTGTGCGCCTTGTTGTCAGCTGCTCATTCTGAAACTGTCGAAGAAAGCTCGCCCGTTGACTTGATCCTGCTCCATTTCCTACTAGAACCGCCGCCTCCAGGAAATGCCTCCCCGTCTGCGATATTCACATTATTTTCAGCGGCGGCGACAAACTCGCCGTGGACGTCACGGGGGCTGTCTCTGAGTTCTAGCTCCTCTTTCCTGTGCCCCTCCACTTTGTCTCGCTTGTGTTCGTAAAATTCGTAGAGCGTCATGCCAATGACGATCACGTTCTTTAAAAAAAATGGTGAGATCCCGACACTAACCCCGTGCCACAGGATCAGCCTCGTTATCAAATTCGGCACGTTCACCACGAGCACGACCAGCAGGCGATGGAGACAGATCATCGGCCGGGTGAGCCCGTCGCGTCCGAACTGGGTCCGGCTTAAGGTCAGCAGGGGGACGGTCGGCAGGATGATGTTGAGTGACGCCTGGGCGAGGATGAACTCCTCAAGCCCGTCCCACAGAGAGTCGCGGTCGTCGGGGGTGAAGCAGACCTCCAGGATGTCCACCGTGTCCAGGATGTCGAACACCACCGTTCCGGTCAGATCCGAGATGTACTCGCGCCGCTCGCTACCGAAGGGCGAGTCGTGCTGCGTGTTCAGCAGAAAGAGAAATATGCAGCTCGCTAGGGCTATCGCCGTCTTGAACGTGTTGGGCCCGAAAAATGAAGGATCCTTCTCCAGCTCCATGGCGTTCAGCTTGATCACGAGAACGATCTTGACGGAGGAGCTGATGCTCATGAGGAGCCACGACAGCCAAGAGATGCTGTGGGGGATATCCTTGCCTCGCTGGCTGTTCCTCTGCCGCTCTATGGCGTTGCCGGAGTAGATGATGCTGGCGATGAGCAGGGCGAGGTTGAAGGCATCGGCGAGCAGCCACCAGTGATACGTTATTGACAGGTGAGACACCAGGTAGTAATCCATCACCCCGGCCTGCACGCCGAACAAGCTGATGCACATGACGGCCGCCGGCAGGCTGTTCAGGTGTGCGCACGAGCGGACGCACCAATCCGAAAGGCTGCCCATCTTTGCTGTCTATGATATTTGCGGACAACTCTCAGTTTTCTAGTCGTGTTTTAAGCGACCCCATGTCCTAGCGAGTCGAATCGTCATAGCGAGCCTCCATTGGTTGAGCAATCGCACCACGTGGCATTGATCACACGACAAGTTCAAGTAGTTACGTCATTTTTCGACGAAAACTTTTCCCTCTACTATTGTTTTCTGTGAAAAGCCCCATTTTTCCTAGGACAAAAAAAGATCCATAAATTAGCGTTCTGTATCAGACTTAAGTCCATCTGTTGAGTTAAATTTAAAAATAAAAAAGAAAACATAATGATAGTGGACTATGACACAGAAGGGTGAAATTTAAATAATATTTGATATGAATTAAACATAAAGTTTTGATCAAATAAATGATTTTAAACTATTAAAATTAAAGCAAGAATCTAATGATCATATAAAGAATTGGTCTTCGATAAGGCTTTAAAAACCTGTATTTATTTCCCGTTTTATGAATCAATTCTAATCAAAATAAAGCTTAAATTTACGGGGATCAAAGACAAAAAAATCATACTTAAATAGCGTCCACATGTGTATTTGTAAAATGATCCCTTACAGCTGAACATACATTGTTTTATTTACGCAAATTGTTTGTGTCTAATTAATCGACTTTAAAGCTCTAAAGCAGTCCAACACTCTTATAATTAAATAACTCAGTGTGTTCTCAACTTAAGAGCTAGTGTTTCTACCTCTATTGAACACAAAAAGATATACCAGTTTGGGAAATAACCTTTCAACGATGAGCTCTCTCTGTGTTTTATTCACCCACAGCACACCATTACAAAACAACCATGCACACCAAGGGCATGCAACTAATGCCCTGAGTGCTAAGTGTGTAAACATTGAGAGTTATCAGGTCTCTACCCGGTCAACTTACCTGCGTTTGAGTGGTGCCTAGAGTTCCACGTCCAGGTGAAAGCTATTCCCTTCAATCACACGTGTAGATCGATAACACCGAATGGACAGAGTTCCAAAATCCAATCAATTTTTTTTTTGGGGGGGGGGGGGCATTTCCAGCCGCATTAATCCACGCAGTGCGGCGGCGGTGTCGCTACTTTCATGGCGAAGTCGGTTCATAAATTATTTCCCATGTACTATTCCAAAATCCAATTAATTTTTTTTTTGGGGGGGGGGGGGCATTTCCAGCCGCATTAATCCACGCAGTGCGGCGGCGGTGTCGCTACTTTCATGGCGAAGTCGGTTCATAAATTATTTCCCATGTACTTTGGATCACAGACGCGCCGTCACAAAGTCACATCACTTCATTAATAAGCTCACTGTGTTGGTTCTCGGTCAATACATTTAGCCGGAAGCCGTACCACGGTCCATGGACGTGGCAACAAACGCTCGGGGAATTATCTCTGGCGGGGAGTGATGGCCGGACACACACAAAAAAAACAAACCAAGAGACGACCCAAAAAATCCTGACCTGAACTCGTTTCACAAAAAAAAAAATAAATAAATAAATAAAATAAAATATGGCCGGACACGTCTCGCTGACCGGTCGAGTCTAAGTTTGTTGTTGCCAGATTATTTCCTAGCACATCCCCATGCCCTCCTCTCCCACGGTGTTTGGCCGCTGCTGGTTTTTGACAGGTCTATTGTATGACAAGCACTGGGTGCACTGTTACAACTGGGCGCATTCGCTTACCATATAGTATTATAGAGACCATTTTTTAAAAGAGTTCTATTTTTGGTTGAAGGACGGTGGTATGTCAATTGTAAGGTATGCCCTTGGGTTATGTCTGTCAGTGAAAATATACGTTACGGTTAACACATGCCGATATTTTTGAAATGATGTGCAACTAGCGAAGTTAGTCAATCGAGGAATTAGCTCGTTTACAATAATTCTTCAAGGACGTGCTCATTGGGAAGTGGATTTAATGAGGCCTCAAAGACATGCGCAGTTGGGAAGTTGGTTTAATGAGGCCTCAGAGACATGCACATTGGGAAGTTGGTTTAATGAGGCTTTAAGGACATGCAAATTGGAAAGTTGGTTTGATGAGGCCTCAGAGACATGCACATTGGGAAGTTTGTTTAATGAGGCCTCAGAGACATGCACATTGGGAAGTTGGTTTAATGAGGCCTCAGAGACATGCACATTGGGAAGTTGGTTTAATGAGGCCTCAGAGACATGCGCATTTGAGAAGTTGGTTTAATGAGGCCTCAGAGACATGCACATTTGAGAAGTTGGTTTAATGAGGCCTCAGAGACATGCACATTGGGAAGTTGGTTTAATGAGGCCTCAAAGACATGCGCATTTGAGAAGTTGGTTTAATGAGGCCTCAGAGACATGCACATTGGGAAGTTGGTTTAATGAGGCCTCAGAGACATGTACATTGGGAAGTTGGTATAATGAGGCTTTAAGGACATGCACATTGGAAAGTTGGTTTAATGAGGCCTCAGAGACATGCACATTTGGAAGTTGGTTTAATGAGGCCTCAGAGACATGCACATTGGGAAGTTTGTTTGATGAGGCCTCAGAGACATGCACATTGGAAAGTTGGTTTAATGAGGCCTCAGAGACATGCACATTGGGAAGTTGGTTTAATGAGGCCTCAGAGACATGCACATTGGGAAGTTGGTTTAATGAGGCCTCAGAGACATGCACATTGGGAAGTTTGTTTGATGAGGCCTCAGAGACATGCACATTGGAAAGTTGGTTTAATGAGGCCTCAGAGACATTCACATTGGGAAGTTGGTTTAATGAGGCCTCAGAGACATGCACATTGGGAAGTTGGTATAATGAGGCCTCCAACGCAATGACACAAGCCCATGTGAAATTTGATTAAATAATTCCTCAAAGAAATCCACAACGTTCAACCAAGCAATGCATAGAGACCACTGCCATGGTCAAGTCAAGCAAACGCTTTTAACAAATGAGGTGTGCCCGACATCATTGTGAAGCAGCTGAGACAAAAGCCATTGATTAACTTGGTTATGTGAATACAAGTGCTTTAATGTTGACTATAACATGACGTATACAATGCTTTTGGGGTGCTGTCGGTCTGGGCTTACCCGTTACCGCTCTATAGTGTGATAAGTAATCAATGTTTACTTTTGAAATGTTTTAAATTATAGTTTTTTAGGACATTACCAAAAACAACAAATCAAATAATGGAGAAAAAAAATGCTTCATGGCTTTATGAAATTGGATATATTACAAACTGATCCTGGTAACGTGTAGTGTAATTACAATAGGCCTAGTATGTGCAGTAAGAAAAGCACTACATTCAGTTAACCGATAGTTTCTTTTAAAAGTAACTCGAAAAAATTCATACTTCAAACGACTCAGTTGTGTTCACTTGAATGTGCCACACTTGAATCTATCCAGTAGCCGTTCGAGTAATACATCTTGGTTCTGTTTCTATATCTATGTGATAGTGTTATACAATCACCCGTCTTTCATGTAGCGGTGGTTCTAAAGATATTAAGTTACTGGCACACGCAAATGACAGAGGTGCAATCAAGATTTCAACAAAAACATTGTGTACCCTCATTAAAACTTTAAACAGCAAAAAGACGGTCATGAATGGGTTCCTTCCCTTGACAAGACATTGAATGGGTTCCTTCCCTTGACAAGACAGTCTTGAAGGGTTTCCTTATCCTGACAAGGCATTCTTGAATTGTTTCCTTCCCTTGACAAGACAGTCTTGGGTTCCTTCTCTTGACAAGACAGTCTTAAATGGTTTTCATCCCTTGACAAGACAGTCTTGAAGCGTTTCCTTTACCTGACAAGACGTTCTTGAATGGGTTCCTTTCATTGATAAGACGTCTTGAAAGAATCCCTTGCCTTTACAAGACTGTCTCGAACGGGCTTCCTTCATTTTCCAAAAATGGACTTAAAAGTATTCCCTCTATTGATAGGAAACTTGTCGAATACTTTCTGGTAACCGACAGAATGCTCGACAAAGAGTTCGTTGTCTTTAACAGAACGTTCGTCAAAGAGTTCGTTGTCTTTAACAGAACGTTCGTCAAAGAGTTCGTTGTCTTTAACAGAACGTTCGTCAAAGAGTTCGTTGTCTTTAACAGAACGTTCGTCAAAGAGTTCGTTGTCTTTAACAGAACGTTCGTCAAAGAGTTCGTTGTCTTTAACAGAACGTTCGTCAAAGAGTTCGTTGTCTTTAACAGAACGTTCTTCAAAGAGTTCGTTGTCTTTAACAGAACGTTCTTCAAAGAGTTCGTTGTCTTTAACAGAACGTTCTTCAAAGAGTTCGTTGTCTTTAACAGAACGTTCTTCAAAGAGTTCGTTGTCTTTAACAGAACGTTCGTCAAAGAGTTCGTTGTCTTTAACAGAACGTTCGTCAAAAAGCTCCCTGCCTTTGACATATTCTTGTTAAAGAGTTCCCTGCCATTGACAGTATTCTCGTCAAAGAGTTTCCTGCCATCGACAGTATTATCGTCAAAGAGTTTCCTGCCATTGACAGTATTCTCGTCAAAGAGTTTCCTGCCATCGACAGTATTCTCGTCAAAGAGTTTCCTGCCCTTGACAGTATTCTCGTCAAAGAGTTTCCTGCCATCGACAGTATTCTCGTCAAAGAGTTTCCTGCCATTGACATATTCTCGTCAAAGAGTTTCCTGCCATTGACAGTATTCTCGTCAAAGAGTTTCCTGCCATCGACAGTATTCTCGTCAAAGAGTTTCCTGCCATCGACAGTATTCTCGTCAAAGAGTTTCCTACCATTGACAGTATTCTCGTCAAAGAGTTCCCTGCCCTTGATAAAATGCTTGTGAAAATAATCCTTGGTAATGACTGACAGTGTTTGACACGCCCCTCTCCACAGCACAAGACACACGTCACAGGAAGAAAATGACAAACGTCTGGTCAAGAGATCATCCCTTTTTATTTTTTAATTAACTATTCACCAGATTTTACTTTAATTTACATACAATTTTGCAAGAGTAAATGGCTTTTAATATAAAACTGTATTGCCATTCAAATCTGTTTTTACCTTACCTTACCTTACCTTACCTTACCTTACCTTACCTTACCTTACCTTACCTTACCTTACCTACAGGCTAGAAAATCAAGCATGCATTACAAAATTTTAGTGGGCCGCGAAGCATAAATATATATTTTATTATTTAAAAAACGGGGTCACGAAAAAAAAAAGTTTGGGAAACGCTGATTCTTAGTATAGCCCCCACCCCTCTCTCCCCTTCTCGTCGCATTGCGCTAAAATATCTATACTAATACCTACGCTCCCTAATACAACCGTCCCCGGCCTTATCATACCCAACCTGGCATTTACTCTCTTTTACACTCTTCAAAGCTCCATAATCATATATGTCCCTATATTGAAAGTGTTATAATGTCACGGTTGACTGATTTTTATCTGAAAAGGTTGGGACGTGCACTGTGAACAACCTCACTACCAAACCATGTGACCAAACAAACAGCAGTGATCAACAGAGTACGACAAAACATATTCACTATTCTAAAAATAACCAACAATTTTTAACCGTCCACTTTTAAAACGTTTCAACATTTAACCGTCAAAACATTTTAAAAGTCTAATATTTTATCGATCCGATACGGATTTTAAAGAAAAGAATATTGCCCCAAAAAATGTCAGTTGTTCAAAGCTTAACATGCTCAATTTTTATTTTGTCTAACAATTGAAATAATCAATTTAAATTTTTCACACATTTAAACTTTCAACTTGTAAAACTTTTCCAATTTTTTAAAAAAAAGTCCCAATCGAAACTAATCGATCCTTAAAATGTCCACAGTTAAATTGAAACTAACCAAAATAGTCAATTTATACTATCAAATCTTTCCCAATTTGTAAAAAAATCCAATACCTAAAAAGTCTACCTTATAAAATGGTAAAGTCGACGTCTTACATACATGTATGTATAACTAGCCATTGCACCCGCCATTT